CTTGCTTTTCAAGGTTGGATACTTCTCGCTCAAATGGGCAAGTACCAAGGGATGGAAGGGACCCCAAGGCGGCCCTGTACCAGCGAGCGGCCAGGTAAGTAGGGCTCTCTCTACCTCTCCAAGGCCACCGGGGGGGGGCGGCGGGGTGGGGTCCTCATATCTTTTGTAGGCTGGAATTGATGGTGATGACCAAGACACCCCTGTTAGCCAGCCGGTGCAATGTGAGGAACTGAAGACGCTTAAAGGGGGTCATTCATTGCTTTTCAAAGTTGGATACTTCTCGCTCAAATGGGCACAGGGCGCTTCATTTTAGTGAAGGAGCTTGCGTTCCTTTATAGGGCCTTGGGGTCTACGTAACAGGTCCGACGCACATCTCGGCAACATCTATTCCCACCCTCGGAGCGCTCTGATATCTCCCAAAAATCCGCAACATGTACTAGCTCCACTTCGAGGTCGGCCCAATTCTCGCGGAGAGCGGGCCCTGGGCCTTCAGAATTCCATGGCGAGGACAGGTGCCTTGCGCAGTCTATCTTCGAGCCGCCGTAGCTTACGTGCATCTAGAGCACGCTCACTAGCCTCGAGTCCCGACTTAAGGTGCGCATTGAGACAAAGCTGATGGCGAACAGATTCGAGGTGAATCATAGATTCCCGAAGTCGTAGTCGCCGTTTTGTGATCATGTAAGCAAGCACGACACAATAAGATGTGCAGACACCAAGGTCACAGTGCACTAAAATAATCTCCTTGTGCCTAAAGTTCACAAATGACAGAACACACTGTTGATCCAACGACGATGGCGACTCAATAGCATCGTGAATGAAGTCTATGCATAATTTAAGTGTCCCAGCTAAAATGTACCAGTCGGATGCATCTTGGCCACCCTCGGATAGACTTATTAGAATCTCGCATCTCTTGAGCTTCTTGCACTCTTCGGAGTCCGTTAGCCAGCGAAGCTTTGGGTCCTTGTGGCCTACAAGGCACTTGACTTTATGGCTCCTAGTATTCTAGGCTCTGCGCAAAGCCCCGATCAAATACTGACAAGATCGCGGTGAATCCGCGATCCGTTGCAAATTGTGGGTACGCAGCTTGTCTCGAGCCGAGCCACAATGCCCCACGATCACGACCACCGGGAAGGACACACTGCGCTGGTTCCTGCAAAATATACTGCTGGATGAGCGTCCGGACATTCCTTGATTCAAGTTTCACGAGCATGAGGGGAGTCTTCAGATCCGTGCTTAGAGCATACGGCGACGCCTGGTGTTCCAGAAGGATATTGACGATAGAATCAAGACCAGAGGAAGCTGCATAGTGAAGAGGCGTCCAGTTCCATATCTTGTCTGGTAACCAGCGCGACCCCCCCCCGACAGCCTTGAGTAACAATGATACGGTGGCTGCTGATCCGCTAAGAACACTGTGAATAAGAGCGGAGCGACCAACTCGATCACGTGCGTCGTGCCTAGCTCCATGTGCAAGAAGTACAGACACCCCGTGGCACTCGCCACGGTGGCAGGCAGCAATTAGGGGGGATTCTTTGTTCGCATCTCGTGCCTCTAGGGAGGCATTGGCTCCAATCAGTACGCGAACAACATCGACGTGTCCATTAGCAGCTGCATAGTGTAGCCCCGTGCATTGAGTTGCGTCTTGAGCATCGACCTCCTGTCCTTCGTCAATATAGCGAACAACGATACTTGTCAAACCTCCGCGGCAGGCTTTAATAAACAATTCGCGGCCGATACGCGGGTCCTCGACGTGCTGCGCGCGCTCCCGCAGCATCTGAAGAGGCTCCCATCTACCAGTGACAGTGTTCTCACGATAATCATAACGCCGAAACTCAAGCACGTGGGGCTGCAGGGCATCTTGAAGCAGCTGGTGCACTTCGACCCACGGGAGACCTTCCGTTTTCATCCCATTGATTTCTGTGATGATCATGCCAGAGCGCACAGCGGGGAAAAGTTCTGAGACACTGCAGCTCTGTTGATCAGCAAGAACATGATCCTCGCTAATTCTGTCTGCTGTCTCGCGCTCCATTTCAAATAGTTTTTCTAGCAGCTGGTCTGCATGCTTCATGTCTTGAAATGCCATGTCTTTTATCCGCTTAACTTCTCGAAGAGCTTCCCGAGCCTCTAGAAGCCGCTCACATCTCAATTTGAGCTCATGATATCGGCGCCATTGCTGCTCCGCCTGAACTTTTTCTTCGGTCTTTTTCATCAATGCCACGCGTTCTTTGAAGTCTCCCATTTTTGGTCGTAGCTCCAAATATTCTTCAAGCTCTTCCGGTCTATCGTTCATCAACAGCCAGGCGGTCTCCCAATTCTTGTACGTCCGATTTTTGGCAACGAATTCTTTCCTCAGAGAATCTACTTCGAACATTTGTTGTTCGCAAGCTCCTGCTGCTAAGTCGTGGTCCTGGACTGGATTTTTCCAGCCAACAACAACGGCGTTCTGTCCTAGCGCACCTGGAAGCAAGTCCAAAGTCAGCATCACATTGTCGAATTTGCCGCTGAAACGTCGGCGGGGAACATGCTCCCATTTTACATCGACTGGCACATGTTTTACCTCCGCCTTTTTTTTGCGTTGCTCACGCACTATCTGCGATATTGTGCCATACATAACGAATAATCAGTAGTATCCGGCCGAATAATCAGTAGGCGGTGATGTGCTCTTTCTCTTCTTTTTCTTACTTACTTACCTTGGGAGTTGCATATGGGGGGGCGAATAGGACACTTTGACCCGCGTTGTTCCCACCCCTCAGAAACCGACGCGTTTGATCGCGTGGGACAGCCCCTCGAATTAAGTGCGAACATTTTTCTGTGAGATTCATGGCTTTCGTCCCGCCAGCACTCTGGAATTTTCCACCGCGCGCCGCCATCGGTAAGATTTTGCTTACTTGGACCACCAACCGCTTCCGACGGCGGGCGCCGTAAGCTCAGCGCGGCCGGTGAATTAAGTGTGAGGACCCCGCCTCGTTATAAAGCAAAGCGCTTGGGTTAATTTATTGAAGTAGTAATCGAAAACCTCATCGAAATCGTCAAAAACTGCATCGTTTCGACCGTCGGATAACGCTGCGATGATGTGATGCGCCGGCGCCGCGCCGTTTTGCGCTAGGTGGTGCACGAAAAGCGCGCGTGCTGCGCCGGACAGCGACGACGGGGTTCGAGAGCGCAAAAATTCCTGCTGGCGGCCTTCTGCGGCGAGACTGTCGATCACTGCGACTGCGGGGCGCGCCCCCACTCGATCTTTGCATCCCCGGGTTCATATACCGTGATAGCTGGCATGGGGCAACTCATCACCTCTCTACGGTCGCCCTGCGACTGAATTAGGTTCGAAACTCCCCCGCGCGCGCGACGACGACGACGACGGCGGCGGCGGCGGCGGCGGCGGCGGCGGCGGCGACGACGACGACGACGACGACCGACCGACCGACCGGCCCAGAAATTTGGTGCCAGGAACTCGCCCGGGACCTAGGGGAAGTCACCCGAGGTCCCCCTGAGTACGCCCGAGTAGGATTTAATCAAAGTTTACCACCCCAGACCCCCAAGCTCGAGGTCACTCATAGTGCAACGGAAGGGTTGCAGGGACTATTCAGTGATGCAGCCAAAACAGCCAAAGCAGAGGGACACGAGACAGCAGCGACCGACAAATCTGCAGAGACCATGTTTTCTCGCCTAGAGCACCGGAGAAGAAGATGGGGGCATTACCATGGAAGACCTACATGCCGTTGCAGTGATGAATACGGCAGATCTACAGACTGTCCGCGATGACATTAGTGTTCTACGCACAGGCTTAAATAGTGTTGTACAGGACATGAAGAAGCTCAACAAGCTGATGGTGGCAATGCATCTTCACATACAGAACATGATTAAGTATGGAGCTCATGCTGATAATGGTGCATCTGAATCTAAGTTAACCCAAGCAGTTGCATGCCTGTCCGATGCTGAACTTTCCGAACCCGACAACAAGTATAGGTGAGAAAATCTATAGCAGTTTGGCAGATAGGGGGAGCTCAGGAGGAAGATTCTCCTGTATCTGCCCTACTGTGCTTATTTTCCCTTTTCTCCCTACCTTGCAGTCTCATATCTTCATGAGACTGAGTTCAGTCCCAAGGTCCCCACTTTAGTATGGGGGTCCTTCCAAGGTCCCCACTTTAGTATGGGGGTCCTTCCTCCTTTTTCCAATTTCCTTCCCTTTCTCTCTTTCTATTCCACTTTAAGACAGTGTAGAGTAACCCTCTCCTGTTGGGAATCAGGGCTGCTTAGCAGCCCCATCTCACTTTTCCATGTTCAGTCTAAGTCAGGAACACTGCCATTTCCCCTCGAGTGGCACCCTAAACGCAGCTTAGTACTCCAATTCGCCTCTGTCATCTTCGTATTCCTGCCCCTCATAGGGACAATTCCCGCTACCGCCGGCGTATGTGACAGCATCATGATGCCAGTGGCACACAGCGTCATCGAGTGTACCTGGTTGGCCAGGGGGCTGCTCACGTTAGTGTTGGGGCCTCCAGGCAGGTCGGACGGACCCATGGGCCAGATATGACGCAAGAATGCGACCGCCAAGGTCGAGATGCGCATCACAGATCGATTCGAGCACACCGCTGCCACTGCGCGCGGTCGCGGTCGCCATCACTGCACGGACTTCCACCGAGTCTTATCCCTCCGGTCCTTTTCCCACGCGCGACGGGTCGGGTAAGGAGCGGCCTCGCCGCGTTCGCGCGATTGGGCTACTCGTCGTCACGCGCTATGGCCGGCGGCGGGGTTGAGTTGCGGGCCTTTGGACCGGCTCTTGGTGCGCCTGGGTCGCCTTGCCGGCTCAAATGGAGGCAAGATAGGTGAATTATGATTCCGGCCAAGCCGCGGCAGCGAGTAAGAGCGCTAATCCCGGCCATGTCATCCGGGTGTCTCATTACTTGGTCGTCGTTGGGCGCCCATACAGACAGGGCCCCCCCTGGGTGTGAAGATCGCTGTATGCTCCTCCATGGTTTCACTTCTGCGCTGGGCCAATGCCTGAAAGGTGTGTCGCGAGTTTATCGGCGCCATTTTGAAGGCATAGCTTTGCGAGAACTTCAGGCGCGAGATGCTGAAGGATGGGCTTGGGTCTGGGAAGCGTGATGAGGACATCCGTCCCCGCGAGGCGATTGAGCAACGCACTGTCAGGATTTATTCCGAGGAGTACGTCCTGCTCGTCTGCATCTTTAAGGACTGCCACCTGATGGCGACGAGTCGGGCTGCCAACGACGAACGTCGAGGACTCGCGGAAAAAACATAATGACTACCGAAATCGGCGATGCATGCAGCAAGGGGTGCGAGAAGGACCTGTACAACATTAGTACGTATCTGTGTGTTACGTTTTACGTTTTAGGACGCTATGCACCAGACGAGGCCCACATGCTTGACGGGTGTTGCAGCAGCCTGTGTGGGTAGTTAATAGCTGACCAATGTCCATGTCCACCGCAGGACCAGCGAAATCGCTCTTCTCTCTGATGACTTTTGCGCCGGGTTGCGCTTCGCTAAAACATTCAAGTGCAACTTCGATAAGAGCGCGCCTCATGTCCTTTGCAACGAGAACAGTGAAGCGATCGTCGACAGTAAGACTGTTCGCGACAATGTGGAGGAGCTGCGCTTGAGTCTCCCACCACTTGTCGGCACGCGCGATAGTGCCGAGTGATGGAATAAATGGACCTAGGAAAGGTGGGGACAGGCGTCTTGACGATGATTGGTGGGCTATGTTTGATGTGCGAAGAGGCGTCGGCGCTCGTTAAGTTGACATCTGGGTCCGGGAATACGCCAGGCATGGCGATTCCAAGGAACAAACATGGACCAGAGAGGCAGACGCGGGAGACTGGCCAAGGACGCGTGGCGAGTGAGCTGCGGCCGCGGCGAGTGCCTAGGGAGGAGTCCTTCTCGGGCTCCCGTGGCGTCATCTAGTCATCCGTATGATCCCCATAAGCACACGCACAGATGTACTAACAAACGCTGCCAAGGGACCGCGCATGCAGCCGCGTGTAGCGGCGGCGCGTTCCTCGCCAGGCATGCAGACACGTAGTAAAAGTTAAGATCGATGAGTGGCCCATCGCTGAAACGCGCCTCAGATGCAAAGTCAAGGCCTAAGGTAGCGTCAGACTTTGTGACTTTCATAACCGATGGGTTCTGTTGAGACGCAGCCAGCACACGCGCAAGGCCAGCGACGCAATGAAGCCACGGGACCTGTGTGTCTCAGCGTCACGCCAAGGCCGAATTCCTGGTAATCGACGCCACCCGTATGAAACGAGCGAGCGGCTCATTTATTTGCGTTCAGCGGTCTCTCATTCCTCCTGCCTCGGTATGGCAATAAGAAGCGGATCTTCAGGACGCACGGGTGCATCACATCGCCTTGGTCATCGTCGAGGATGACTCGGATGGCATCCAAGGACTCATCACGTCGGTCTGCATTGCACGGGAGGAAAGCATGAATGACCTCGAGAATCGCGTGGCGCTTGCCATCGAAGCCATCAAGTGAAAGGAGCGGTGTTAGGGACCCGAGGGCGTGTTTCGCCAAAGCCTAAAGCAGCAGCGACATGGAATTTTACCCTTGTATTCCGTGTGGCGCTTTCCAGACACGGTGGATGCTCACAGTGTCAGCGGCGTCCTCATCGCGTGCACGAGTGCGCAAGCCAATCGCAGCGAGGGCATTGGCTGCAGCATGACAGAGCGGCGCATGCGTGGCTGCGCCCGATACAAGAACTCGAGCAAGGCACGCGACGATGGCGCCAAGGCCTCCTGGCGGCGCTCCCACACCGAGACATGACGCAGCAATGGACCCTGCACGTGCTTCAAGGCACGCACAAACGCGCGCGGCATCTAAAGCAGGCAGATCAAGTATGCCTTCGAGGCGGTCTTGGGCCGGTATTGACGCCCCCCTACCTCCGCCGAGTGCTTCAGAGACCGCCTCATCGACGACAATGTCGAGGCTTCGAGGGGGTTCCTCATCATTGCCATCGGCAGCTGTGCGCAGCGCTGAGCCGCCGACCCCAGAGAGTCGCGACTGGAGCGAAGCGTGACTCGCCTTATCATCGACAGACCGTGGGATGCCGCGCGCCGATGTCTGCGAGAGCGCTGGCCCGGGTACGCTGCCTCCGCTGCCAATGCCGCGCGCTGCCCCTCGAAGCTGTGCGACCTGCGGGGGGGAGGGCAGACGGTGCATCACCACGGCAGCGGCAAGACGGTACATGCGACGTGGTGCGGACTGAAAGAGATGTAACGACGGTCTATCTCATTAATGACACTTGGAAGTTCACAGCGCAGACTGCGCGCGCTTCGATCTACCTGGCGCACCTGAATTTCCTTTACCTTGACCTGGGGCGCGGGCGGCGCCTCAGCACCAACCTGACAGGGTGACACACGCAATTTTGGGCCACACAGCACAAGTAGGCGTCATCTAGCAGAACCACGAAAGGCGGAATGGATCGACGCAGCGCAAACTTGCCGCCTTGGCAGGTAGTCGGGTGGTGGTGGCCGTGGCGACGCCAGCGCTGCTAGAGCCCCCGAGTCGCGGCACGCGGAACCTTTCTGGCTCGAGAGAGCGCTCCTCCTGGAGACTTCGCTCGTGAAGGCCGACCTTCTCTTGGAGTTGGCTCGCTCGCGTTGCCTCATCACTCGTTTCGGCTAGAGCCTGGCGATATGGCAGGTTCAAGGGTAAACTCCTCATTATTCAGTCAACGGGCCGCCAGGTATGCGCGCGCGCGCGCCGAGGGGGGGTGGGGGGGTCCGTAAATACGCAAGCATCTCTTGTGTCGCCCACTCTCGAAAATCCACCGAGGGAGGGCGCATCCCAGGACGCTGGGGAGGACGGCGCCACGGAGTGATGCACGAATTGCAGCGGCGCCCGTGTCCCGAGCAAACGGCGGCTGCTTCTCTGGGAGTGGGCGTCGCGCCACTTTTTGGACCGTGCGCTGCGTAAGAGTCTCGTACATGCGGTTCACAAACTTAACGACGGCACCATCCTCGCAGTGGATGACACGGTTCACTTCGGCCTGGCTGATCACGTCCTGTATTCCTGCCTTGCGAAAGAATTTCAGAAGCTGAGCCCAGTTGTCTTTTTTGATACGAAGCGCGATGCCGTTGTCAAAGCTATGCATCTGCACATCCTTATCGTAGTAACGCGAGTAGATCTCTGCCACCAGGAACCCGTTGCTAAAGTCGCGCTTGACATTCTTGACGCTGTATGCAAGGTCCTAAAGTCACCGAGGCGTCGAGCACAGGCAGACGGACGTGAGATAAACTCTCGGCCACGCTTGGGACAGATTAAAAACACCCCGAAAGGCCGAGGAACCGGACAGGGAAAGAGGAGTCAGGAGTTACGCACGAGCGACTGAACCCAGCGCAACACTTCACGCGTCAATGTCTGCTCTGCAATCGCTACGTCCGACGACATGGCCATACGCGTTACAGCAAACCGCCCGCTCCAAGATACAACATCTTTACTCGTGCGATCTGGATACAACATCTGTTCGCACTGCGTACAAAGCGAACAAGGCCAAAAACAACTAGGAAGTTAGGATATTTTATTAGCTTCCTAACGTCGCTATGGCGTCAGTCAGGCTACTATCCAGCAGGTGCACTGTCCGGCGACTGTGCTACCTCGCTGGGCCTGGTGCTCTCTGAAAGTTAATGTTGCGTTCCGGCCGACGATTGGTAAGTGTTTTGTAAGAACGAGTGCGCGATGGAGCACCACTAACGGCCGCGTTTGAACACAGTACGTTGAAGGGCAAGTTAAAGTCGCCGACAGGCAGCCGTAGTCCCGTGGATCATCGTCATCCAAAAACCAGAAACACATCGTGCCGCGCAACGCAAAGCCTCCGAGTGAGTCAGTTTGCTAAGGAGCTGGGGCTAAACAGTGACGGTCACATGTGCTGGTGGTAGTGTTTTGGAAAGGTTTCCGGACGTCGGGGGGGGGGGGGGGGGGGGGG